TATCTACCCTAGCATCCCGCACCCTCGGGTGGGCCGAGGGAGATAGCCAGGGCGCAGCTGATGAAACTACAAGCTTATTCCCCTGTCCAGGAGAAAGGGATCTTCACCCAGACTTCAAATTAACTCTTGTAAAGATCGCCATTGACAGTTACCGGTTTTAGTTATTACTGTTGTAATATTTGTTGTACCCCTTGCCTTATGCTCCGCCTGAGATGCTCTCCACACGCTACTTTGGGCGAACTGGGAAACCTGATGACAAGACCCCACAACCATACTACAGAGTTGGAGTCAGGACGGGTGCTGCCACCTGGGCATGTCCAAGGGTCACCCCAACCTTATCAAGATGACCCCCCCTCATAGATTTAACTTGGTGTCCCTCAATGCCCATGGTCTAAACACCCTGCAGAAATGCAGGTTTGCCCTGTCCCAATTATGAGCCTTGTATGCCTTGGTAGCTTGCATATGGAAACTCACTTTTCTGTTAAGAACCCCCCAAAATTCTCCTCAGCCGCTTACCCATCATCATTTCATGCCCTGGCACCTAATAAAACAAGTTTATTAGGTGCCAGGGCATGAAATGATAATGGGTAAGTGGCTGAGGAGAATTTTGGGGGGTTAGTATACTGTTTCACTCTGATTGGCATTTTCAATGCACTGATGGTTGACTTTTCATTTTAGTGGGACTGCTTAACGACGCCCAGGTGACTATAGCAAACCTATATGCCCCCAATGCCAACCAGTACGACTTTCTTCGGAAAGCTCTGAAACAAATTGATAGACTGAAAAAAGGGCAGATGCTTATATGTGGGGATTTTAACTGTGGACCCTGATCTTGACAGATCCGGGAACCCTGGCTCCCACTCTCGATCCACACACCTAGGTGACAAAATATCACCCTCCTCCACCTACACGGCCTACATGATACATGGCGAGCACTCTATCCAGCCACTAGGGATTACACATTTTATTCTAGGGTTCACAATCAATATTCCCTAATAGACATGTGCCTGGTAGATGTTAAAACCCTAGATACCCTAGACCAAGTCTCCATTGCCCCTAATCTGGTCCTACCACGCCCCCCTCAGGACATCATTCACTACGCTTTACCCGGTCCGAGGATGGGGAAGATGGAGACTAAACGAGTCCCTAATAGACAATGCTGAAAGAGCAGCCGAGATGAGGAGATCCCTAGTAAACTATTTTGTGGATAACCAGAACACCGACACGATCATTACCATGACATGGCTTGCCCATAAGGCGGTCATGCGCGGAATGCTGATATAACAAGGTGAGAAAATACGGCGTCAAATCTCAGAGAAAAGCACCTCCCTACTAAAGGTTCTAAAAGGGGCTGAAACACAACACAAAGCTTTACCCACTAAGCTCCATAGGCAGGAAGTACACAGGATTAGGTCCACACTGGAAGCCCTACAGATGCAAGTTGAGCAAACAATTCGTAAACTAAAAACAAACTACTATAGACAGGGAAACAGAGCGGGCCGACTGCTGGCATCCCAACTTAGGGAACGAACCTCCCAGATGAAAATTACATATGTCAGGGATAGTGCTGGAACAAAAATTGTAAACCCTAAGGCGATTGTGGATGAATTTTATGCAAAGTTATACAACCTTTCCGCCGACCCCGTCCAACACCAACCCAGCCCCATGACATAACTACCTTCCGGGAAGAGGTGAACCTCCCCCAGCTCTCCAACGAGCAGGCCACAGCACTGACCAGCCCAATCCTAGCCAACGAGATCTCTAAGGCACTGCATGTAACCCCAAGACATAAAGCCCAAGGCACAGACAGCTATTCCACTCACTACTACAGGGTCTTTGAGGACCAATTACTTCCCCACCTGAAGGCCCTATTCAAGCACATTCTGGAGATGGGTTGCATACCCCCAGAAATTCTGGAGGCCACCATAGTTACAATTCCCAAACCGGGAAAACCCACGGACTCCTGTGCGAACTACCGCCCGATATCACTACTTTGCCCTGACAAACGGCACACGGTAGGGATGCCCACTCTCACCCCTCATCTTCATCTTAGCGCTAGAACCTCTAATCCACATGATCAAGAAAGACCCCCATATCACTGGTGTCCCCTCTCCAATAGAACCACAGAAAATAGCAGTATTTGCCGACGACATTCTTCTCTTCCTAACAAACCCCACAGACTCCCTCCCGAATCTTTTAAGCCTACTGCATGATTACGGACGGGTCTCCTACTATAAAAACAATGTGGGGAATACCCAAGTGCTACCTTTGAACATACCCCGATCCCAACTCGCAGCCCTACGAGCTCTTTGTCCTTTGAAATGGAGGAAAGACACCCTCTCCTACTTAGGCACACAACAGGCGCCCTCAAAGCATACCCTCATAAAACACAACCATGAAAAACTACTGGTGAAAACAAAGCGGCTGCTGGAGAGCTGGGGAAACAAAAACGCCTCTTGGCTGGGGCAAATAAACGCCATAAAAATGATCATCCTACCACAAATCTTATTCCTCTTCAGGGCCCTACCTATTAGCCTCCCTATGTACACCCTCCTGGCATTCCATCGCCTTCTCAATGCGCACATCTGGAAAAAGAAGCCAGGGTCTCTCTGGCGAGTCTTATGGGAGGGGGTGGCGTCGGGGTGCCTAACATAGCCAAATATTACCTAGCAACAAATCTATCCCAGACGGCACGCCTCCTGACTTTCCCAGACTACCCAATATGGCACCGACTGGAAAGTGCGATCAGTGCACCGGCCCGAGCTCAACCCTGACACTTCAAATCCCTCACGAATGCACAACTGGCGCTCCAGTTGTGGTTACGCTGGGCCCCAAAAATGCTCAGTGAGATCATGGAGGCTTTTGCTCCACTAGACAGTCTTCAATACCACACTCATGACTTACCCTTGGGGGGCTGGATTGATAGTGGAGTGATATCACACCTCCTAGGTACTGACTGGCTACTACAATTCCCAGAACTCCAACAATTATACCTCCTCCCCAATAACGAACTGTTCACATACCTGCGCATAAAACACATTGTGGGAGATACCATAAAGGTGACATCATAAAATCAGAAAACTCCTTTGATCTGTTATGCCAGGGCCAAAAGACCCCTAAAAAAACGCTCTCCCTATGCTACCAACGCTTACTAGACATAAACCGCAAAAACAGAAATATATGCTGCACTGGGAAGAAGAGCTAAACTGTACATTTGACCCAAGTAGGTGGCTTGTAGCCATGGCACTAGTAAAAAACTACTAAAAAAAGCTACTCGCTGCCTAGACCATGTAGAAGCAGCCTACAAGGTATGGATGAGGTGGTACTTCACACCCCAAAGATTAGCCCAAATATACCTGGGCTGCAGCCAACATGTAGGCACCCTGAGCCACATATTCTGGTACTGTCCTGCATTTGACTCCTACTGGAAGCAGATCCAAGAACTGATAGAATCAAAATTAGGAAAACCCCTACCACTCGTTCCTAAACACTGTCTCCTCCAAATGCTACCCAAAGGGTTTATGATATATGAAGCAGCTCTGATCATCCACATCACACTAGCTGCAAAAACATGCATAGCCACCCTCTGGAAATCCACCACTACACCAGACGTAGCGTAAGTTATTGCTAAAGTGAGTCTCACCCAACACTACGAGAAAATGTCACACACAATCAGTGGAACTCTAGCGTATTACAACCGAACCTGGTCTAAATGGATGGTGAAAACCACACTATCCAAAAAACTCCCTCCCCCCCAGGAAACAACCAAATCAAGCCATAGCGCAAGGATCGTACCGCATACCACACCCACCAACGGGGTAGATGGCAAAGACTATGGTGACACCTGCACGAAGGCGCTAAAACAATGAAAGCAATAAAGCAGAGTAGTATCTTACCCCTGCTCACCTCCGCTAAATTCCCTTCCTTCAGCCATTCAGGAACCATGTAAAGGACAAATAGACCCATTCCCCCCCCCACCCCCCCAGTAACAGGACAACACACAGTCCTGGAGGTACAACACAATTTTATTGGCCACACATGGCTTTTATGCATAACTCCCTGCAAGGGGTGGATCACACAAAACATACAATATCACCTCCCCCTCCCTGAGACCCTAGCACAGAAAGGAACTCTGTTCTCTTTGTCCCCAAAGCCAACCACTAATTTCCCAGGGTTTCCCAAACCAACTGCCAGGGGTCTTCTTCCCAAGAGTCTCTGTGCTTGGTAGTGTAAGCGCGGGAAAAAGGGACTGTCCCTTTGTCTCCCAGGCACA